TAAAAGTGCAGGTAACGGCCAGCTCATGGTAGACTATACTGGGATCTGCGAAAACGAACAATCAGCAGCTTCATACTTTCGGGGGAGGGGAAGACTAGAACATACATAATCCATTGAATGGTCCGTTGGGAAAAGAAAAAAAATGGTTCGGTTAATAATTTCAAGGCCTTTGTTTTGGTAGACGATTATTACCAGCAAGCATAAACTCTCACGCCCTCACTTCTCTGAACAAACACTGTATTTGCAATCTACTTCAAGCGAAACGAGCCATCCAGATATAATGCAGAAGGCAAGTATTCTTTTCAGACTCCGGGAGAGTAACCGCAGTTTTCGCGTGAAGACTTCTTCAAAGAGTCTCTAATGCGTCTACTCACATAGATAGATAATTTGACATATCGACACAACTGGACTGCATGTTATATGTTGAAAACTGTTGCCTACATTTACCTGAAAAATGTTTATGATGGCGTACAAACGATTTAAGTATTGTTTGGCTGCATGTCCTTTTATGCAGTTGAGTGGCAAATTAATCAGCGTCCAGTTTGAAAATGGCATTCCCTTTAAAATATAAGCTAAGATAGCTGGCTGATGACCGTATCATTCTCAGTTTTCGTAGCCCCCTCAGAGTGCGTTTGGATCTTCCGCACTAAACTGAATCAAATTCTCTTCGAAAAAGTCTAGGGAAGCTGTGTCAGAGTAAAGAACGTTTTGCAGTGTTAGGAGGAATTTTTCAGATAACAGTATTTAATACAGATTTAGGTTAAATGCGAAATAGTCTGCACGAATTTAGGAACTTTTCGCCGTCGGTGTTTATTTTGGCGTTCAGCATATATTCGATGCGCTCACCCAGGTTACCCACTTGTCTCTCGATGTCAGACGACCTTCACTTAGTTATTGCAATCCGGTGCCTGTCACATCTCAGGGCTAATCAATATTCCCACACAGAGGAAATCATTTTAGTGCGACAAGTCACCCTTAAATATAATTTTCAAGGGTTACTACGCTGATCAATACACCTCAACTTGGACCGGTCACTTTTATCTCTAGTATCCAATTGGTAGCTCCCCTACTCACAGCCGACCATGCATGCTGGACACTGCGCCGACTCAGCCATGACCAACCTGGCGGTGGTCACTGGCAGTCAAACAAGATTTCAACGACGCAAGTTTTTAATCTTAGCGGATGCCTAGCGCTAGTGGTCCGCATCGAGAGATGCGGCTGGCGTTAGCGAACTAACGCAACCTCGCCGTTGATTTAGAAAAAAAGGCTCACTGTACCGGCTATACCGTAAACAATGGCCGGTCACACAGTAGACTACGGCTGATCTTGTCCTAGTTCCAAGTCGAGTCACACGCATGCCAATTAAGCGACAGCCGGTAAAGCTGACTGTGAACGACAAAGCAGATGACTAGACCGAACGACAGTGTTTTGACATCGTAAGAAAGACCTCAGTTGCTCATAAAACTGTGTTCGGCGAAGTTGTCAGGTCTAATGCAATAGGTAATAATCGCCGTTGTTGTTGGAAGTTTTTTCAGCTGAGACTCCTCATCCGTATTTTCGCTTACTCGAATTAGTAGCATAAAAAATGGAATTTTACTTTCTATTTTTGTCCTCTGCTACGAAAGAGATGAGGTCGGATGATTTAATCTGGTCATAGACGCAAGCTTGACTGAGATTAAGTGACTTTTGAGCGCTAACTTAATGGTCCGAACGATAATTTAGCCTCTATGAATTCGCCCCAAAGGTCTATTTAGGTTAAATGGCAGTTTGGTCTTTTGTGTGAAATATTCAAGTGATGAGCGTATCAGCCAGAATCCTTTTCAGTTGTTCGATAAGCTCAAGTACTAATTAGCGCTATGGTTATTAATACTATGACAAGGTTGGACAGTGGTTATACGTGCAAGTGTTTTATGCATGTAAACCAGCTTGTGTTGTCCTTACTTCTGCCTACTGGTTGACTACTGGGAGAGCTCTTTACTGTAAATGACTGAGTGGACGTAACCACATAGCATGGCCTACTGGTTCCATTAACAAGCTAGCCTTCTGTAAGCCACTGACAACTCTGATAGTCGACAATTTTAGTACGTATGTAACTGAAGGCCCTGTTGCGCATAAACATTGTGCGTACTGAGCTTGAACGTGGGTCTGTTTGAAAGACAGCCTCGTTTGGCGACATCGGACGTTTTGTCAGCTGCAACCCAATGTAAGCGGTCAGTGAGCGTGCCAGCAGCATGAAGACTTATGTATGTATGACTTTCCTTTATCCACAGTTGGTTTCTGCAATAAACGAAAAGCTTCAGCTAGTGCAGTATACCGGTGCTTTGTAAATTAGAAAAAAATAATGAAAAATAGACGTAGATAAGCCACCTTCAAAAGTGAACTGCAAATATAAAGGGCGTATGTTGCCAAAAACCGAGCAAAACTATATATGGCAGGTTTTAGAATTACAATTTCACAGGCGATACAATTCACTGGACGTTTCCAAATATATTTATACAAACATTTGTGAACGCCAGTTTCTTCATTCATACATTAATCACACTAGACGGTTGAGGGTCGGCCGAGCGCAGGCAGTCTTAAGTTACTATTTTAAAAAAATTCTTATTAATATGATGCTGCTGGTCTTCATTATCCGATCACAAGAGGAACAGGAAAGGTTTCGTCGTTTTTTAACCTACAACCCGCTTTAGAGTTTTTATCTGAGTGTCAGTACTTGTGTCGTCCAACCAGCTAACCACGCCTTCTGCCTATTTTCATCTTAAGTCAGAATTCAATATCAACCTGCGGCCATATCCATAAATAATTAGAAAACGTATTAGACACGCACCTGGTCCTCATGTCTACACTCAAATTGTTGGGCTCAAATGGCAAAAAGTTGTCTTCTTCTGCTTTTAAACTGTGCACCGGTGAAACGCACAAGCATTATGTGGCGGAGTCTACAACCCCTGTGTTTCCCCCGTACCTACTTTCTACATAATAATTAAACCAAATACAAAACACGAAATATCACTCATGAAATATAAACTCACAACTTTGTGGTGCACTTGTTCTCCTTTTTAACATTATCATATTTCTTCGATTTTGTATTGACAAATATTTTCGATAATTTATTGGACATACGAAAAAACATACTGGACTGCAAAAAATATTCTTATTTGCAGAAATATTTAGATTTTATGAGAACATTCCGGTCATATGATGGGAGTAATCGTCTTAAACTCTAACAATTACGCTTAATATTTATTTCTAGTCGACACTTTAAACCAATATAGAAAGGGCATGTCTGCATAGTAAATACCCAGTTTGTGAGTAAAGATGCCATCTAGCAAATTAATCCAATGTAACTCAATTTTCCTTAAAAAATTTAAGTAACACTCAATAGTAAAATTCACCATCTGGCGTAAAAAACTTTCAACAGAATTTTTTTCTTCTTTCAATGGCTCATTAAAAAGGCGAGACACCAGGTTGTCCAAAGATGATTGAGTTGCCCAGTCGAATGGTCAGAAAGAGTAATTCTGTAAAAAAAGAATCTATTTTGTTTAATTCAATCGCCCCATTGTGAAAACTTCGCCGGCCTCGGTAGGATTAGAAACCAGAACAATTAACTAAATTAAGAGCAAAAGAACACATGGACAAGTAAAATCTATCACCGAATATGGCTTCAAAAAAGGATCCGAGTCCCGTCTAGACAGGGGGGCCAAGCGTTGACAGGATGGTAGCGTCTACCGATTGATGTTTCCACGTTTGCGGTACGACCGCCCCGCCATGAAAGTGGCCTTTTCCCTTAAGTACAGTGTCCAAAATTCCGACACCCTTTGGATATGTGTTCCGAAAGTTCGTTTTTTATGCGTGCATAGCCATTACGGCTTCCACGTGCTTTTTAATTTTATGTCAACGAGTTGTCCTTTCCTCTACTGCCTAGTTTAATTTACTAAGTGATCTTTCAAACTTTTCGCTCTGAAATAATTGATGCGTACTTCGAGTGAAATCAGGAACCGTTTATTAATACAAAATTTATATATCACTGAGGGACTGCTTGTCGTTGCACTTATTTTATTTGAATATAAGCTCGAACCAGGCTTAATTAACTTAACGACGAACACTGTTCTTTAGTTTTAATGCTAAGACTAATAATTTGCTTTTAATGGGAACATATTTTTAGGATCCAAGGGAGGCGGAAGAACGAAGGGCTCTTATCCGTCAAAATAAGAAGCTTCTAAATCAGGTACTTTTCTAATTCCTAAAAAAACCTAACCCTCACCAACAAAGCTATACGAATCGGCAAAGAGGATTGAAAACCTGGAGCTTACAAAGCTGGAAATGAAGGAGCAGCTGGAATTGCTGGACTTTCAGTTGATGGAGATAGAAAATCAAAAGGCCATTGTAAGTATTATGTTTTTCATCTCGTGCTGTGAAACAAAGTCTCGAAATCTGCAAAAGCGTTACTTTTGGCCTAATTATACTTAAATGTTTCCTTTAGTACTCCGAATATATGCCAGTGCGATTAAGCAATCTTAAAATATGAAATATATGGACAAGCGTTGCTCTGTTCAAGCGAGAAAGTGTTCTCAAAACAGATAATTTGCAGACAGTTTGTGCCCCATTCATCCGGATGCCCCAAGGTAACTCCAAGGAAGGCGGCAATTTAAAATAACAGAACATAATTAAGATTGACTTACTCAGTCTGCAGTTTCACTAACCATCATTAATCCTCGCTTCATATACACCGTCTTTACCATATAAGTGATCGCGTCTGCCTTGGTGTAATGTATTTATGAAGGAATCTTATCAAAAAATTTACCTCCCCCCGTGAATCGTTAACTGAACAGGGACGGAATTTGTTTGGGCTAGATTTTTTGGCAGATATTAAGATGTAGGATGTCTGTGTCCGTGGCATGGTATCTTTTGCCACGTGACCTTTGCTGGCATTTTTACTCACGTTTTCTGAGGGCACATTTTAAAATTTATAGAGTTGAATAACGATATGCTTGGGAACTTTTGTTTGTTAGAGAGAATGTGCCCGAACCTCTTGACCATATACATCACCCTCATGGGGATACTTTTTTCGAACAAAACAGCTTGGACCGTTTGAGCGAGGTTAAGAAGTCAGCATGATACTAAACCCTAAAATTACTTGGAAAACACGACAGATTTCCAATTATGGACTACAAAGATAACCTGCAAGAGAGTGTAGTATAACAATGGGACATAGTTGAGGCTTTCTCATGCAAGATTTTACCATGAGCTATGAAACTGCTCACAGAGTGCCTTGCGTTTCGAATGAGTGTCCGAAACAAACCCAACGAGGAGCTTATTAAATTTTCTAGAGGAAGAGTCTGGTCGAAACGCACTGGGGGACTTACTTACAATTGGCAGTTGTTGTACTACTGACTTTCTGCCCGCAGTTGTTCGATATCACGCGATTATCCCGCCGATGAACTTCGAACCGAATGTTTACATTAAATTTTGTCCTGCGCCTGTAGACCTTTGAATATACGGCTCGACTCCAAGTTCAAAATTTATTACTGAAGGAATTAAAAGGCTAAGAGTCGTTTTTAGTTGTGATATGGCATCAGTGGCAATCGTCCACTCCATACCAAATAACTTTCTGGTTTCGAAAGAAATAAAGGCCAAAATGAGGATCAGACAAAGACGCCGTAGTGATAGCCGCAGAATTGCGTTCTTCGCGTTGTAGGGCCAGAGAGCCCATCCGCACTTTTGCTTGGTGATAATGGCGTGTTCGCGTGCACTCGTAACGGACGACTTACCTTAGTCGCGACATTAGAAGTTGCTGGTGCTATATAATAGTGACGCTTTACCTAGCTTCTTTCTTGATAACCAGTTTTCAGCTGAATACTGCCACTGTGGGGACCTGGCTTCATACCCATATGACATTTTGCTCTTTCGAAAATTAAAAACCTCAAATGTCAACCTGTAAACGTAATAAGTGAACGAGCTGAGATGGATGTAACATCTAATCAGTTAAGTGTTTACCGTATGTACTGCGTTCAACGGGATGCTCATAGTGGTTTGTTCCCGGGAGAAAACTAGGTTGGAAGATTATTATTCATCACACATTTAAACTTTCGCGATTTTCTCCTACGGTAAGCGTTCTCTTACTATTGTGAGCCTTATTATTATATTATGCAAAGTACCACACGAATTTTCATTATAACTTGTGTTTCTTTGGTTAGTTACTTAAATAATCTGAACCGATATCTTCACTCAAAGATATAAGGGTCAACACATGCCTTCGATAGTTTTAGGGGAGAAACTACACTTCTTCGGATTATTCACGACCTCATCAGAGATAGTATTCACGTTAAACAGAAAGAATCTCTGCTGGACGTCGATAATTCACTTTCCTGTCACAAACACTTCACAACGTTTTTTTCTTTAAGATTGAGGAAGAGGTACGACGGCAGTTACCACGGGAGGATGGCGGAACACAAACTGAGGTAAAGCTATTGTTTTTATTTCTAAACGTTTCTACGCCAGTAGAGCTTATATAATATTTTTTGTTTGAGTTTGTACCTCTCTGGCGGTTTATCTTAGTGGGCTTTGTCACCGTAAATTTACCAATAGTACTTGATACTTGTTTCTGAGTCCAATTTTGATCAGCCTAGTAATTAAATTTTTCGATCTTACCATGAAAAGGGAAACAAATTATGTATATCTTGTGTTTGTATCCATTGGAACACGCAAGTTATATAAGAGCATCTGAGACCAGATATTAGCTCTGTAAGTAAAATTGCGCTTTATCTTTCAATGCCATTCAATCAAACTTCTGTTTGATGAGTTTTACTTAAGATTGATTGCAATTTCGCTGTATTTCTGAAGCGAATTGGAGGCTGAACCTAAGTTTTTATTATAGAACCGGATAGGGATCATTTACATGCTCTCCCGGTAGAACACAGGAACAGAAAACTTAGGGTTAGATTTAGGATTAAGATTAGGGCTACGGTTTGTGTTTGGGTTAGGGTTAGGGAAAGTAATAGAAACAGGAGACGGGTATATTTGCTTTTCTCTGAAACTAGCGCAAGGCTAACTGTATTACGGGAGGCGTTCCTATCATCATGTTCTTTCGAGGTGGAAAATGGAACTGGTTACGACTCAAACACGAAATATTGTTATTTTATAAACGGCGCTAGGTGTATTCGAACTGTGTAATTCATACCTAAAAATTGCCAGGTTATGTTCATATTTCTGAACAAGAGCAGATTTAAACTGCCATTCTAATGTGAGAAGCAGCAAGAGTGTTCATCGGGAAAGGTTTCATTTGTATCTGACATTTTGGGTAGTTTTCTCATCTACCTATCTTCAGGAAATGAAATATCCGAAACTTCAGTTACAATATAAACCTCTTTCGGTGAGCGCTCTTTCTTCTTCTTCTTCTGACTTATCACCTGAGAATCGAATGGTCACTGATATTATTATAATGTGACTTTTTTGGGTGCATCCTTTTTGCATGCTAAGGTCAAGGTGAAAATACTAGCACTTTTATTGATCGAAGATATCGCGGCGAAATCGCGGTGCCGATCTGATATAAACTGGATAAAACAGTCCTAATAATTGTAATAGCTTTTATTAAGCATTTGAATTTTCAGAAGAGATCCATCCCCTTTCCACAACTCCCACCCGTTATCCTTTTCTTTAATGACGGCCCCTATTTAACCTATTGAATCTAAAAGCTATTACGTGCAGTATACAGTCTCACTCGATTTGCTTCCGTATCTTGCGTATTCACATATAAGTGGGAAGTCTCTTAGGAAGTTGTTTGTTATTTTAATATTTTTACCCTCCATGAGTCCTTCGGAGAACTCAGACGTCCCATATGTTACCACAATCTTAACCCGAATGTGGCTAATTTTAAAGTGCTTACACGAAGAGTGAGTCATGTCTCTTGGCTCTTCTCTTCTATTTAGAAAAGATATGCATTTTACCCAGTCTAGTTTTCGCTTTGTGTTTAAACACTACATTTTTCTCGAAATGAAATCTGCTTTATGGTTTAAGTAAGTAAAATGGGATATCAGGAAACCAGGGAGAGTGGTTTGCTGCGTAGTACTTATTCGCGCTTCGAGACGAAGCTAACCAACATGTCTTTTTCGGCAACAGCGTCCGAATACCAGTGCAAAATATGCTTTACTTATAAGGAAAATTAATGTACGGCGCCATGCTTTCAAGTTGGTCTATTTTGCCCTTCTCCCAGGCACGTTGGTTTTGGGAAAAAACTTATGGCCAGCGCTATGGGCGACCGAATGGCTTCTACTAATAATAAGCCGAGCGGTGGAAAAAGAACACATTCCTCAATATACCATTTCAGGGATGGAATAGAAATGGCCTGCCTTTGTTTTGAGATCACCATAAAACCCAAATTTTTTAGAAAGTGCTCAGCAGCTCGTGAAGCAAAGCTAAGGACAGCGAAAGTTTTATTCAACTTTTAATGTGTCACTATTCTGTTAACGTTCTTTGTTCTCTATGAATAGGAATTAGGGACAACCGCCGTTATTATTTTAAGTTTGACAATAATCCTGTTTTCTGGCTCGAACAAAAAAGGAATAGCTTGGAACCAGTCGAACAAAGTTACATGCTATTTGGTCTATCGCATCACATCACATATATCACATCGTTTAGTTGGCAATGTCCGGAGGTTTGTGTGTGCTTTTATGTGGTTATTGCATTTTCGTTTCCTATTGAGATTTTGCACTCGTCTCTATGCCCCTAATTTCGCCGAAATTTCTGACATATCGACTTCTTTTTGAGGTTAAATATTATTCCAGAAAAGGGCATATCTGGTTGAGTCTGATAAAAAATTGCAAATAATTTAAAGCCTTGCTTGGGTTCAATTTTTTGTTCCTTTCTACCAACGTATTTAATCAACCACTCGTACACACAACACGATAAGGAATGGAAAAAATGAACACAGGCAACCCTTAAATCGGGCCTGAAAAAGAGCTAGTGGGTGAAAAAGAGTTTGTTTACATTTGTGCCCGTCGCACGCCGCCAACATTCATCTTACTTTGTCATCGAGGATTTTGCTTTTGGCATTCAAACCGACGATACACGCCTCATACGAGTGAATTGGCCTTAGGGATTCTCAAACTTTCTTTCTGAGGCCGGCGCCAAATTCTCGAGATTTCGTTATCAACTGCGTGTGCGTTGCACATAGCCATGTGATGCAGTTTTCTCCACTCTCTTTCGTAATATTTGGTGTTCAAAGATATAGATGATGATGATGATGATGCTTATGGTGATACAGTTCCGGATTTCCTCATGATATTATCTACCCAAACTGTTAGGTGACATTTTGCGGGCGACTGGTCCTTACCGGAAGAACCAAATATATTCTTCCAGTATAGAAGATAGGTGCGTGATGTATGTAGTTTTAACTTTTCGCGTTGCCCGCATCTGATGATTCTTCCGGTTTTTTAAGTTCACATTTATATTATGTGTGTGTGGAAAGGTTAAGCAAACAGTATGTTTTGGAGTCAGAGTAGCCACAGGTATTAAAATAAATACTGTTGAGATTCCTGTTGCATCAGCTGCAAGCACAAAGAGCCCAGTTGGTAGCCGAGTCGCGTTGAAAAGAGATATAATGTTTCCACAAAATCGTTCCAAAAGAAGTAAAATAAGTGCATTTTCAATAATTCATCACCCTTTCAAACCATACTCATTTGAAATCAGTTATTTTGTTTACGTAGCGAAGAACCTTTGATTAGCTGCGGCTCCATGTTTGACAACGTAGGGGGACAGATGATGCATAGCACATTAAAGGATCCAGTTTCGTTAAACACAAGCTAAGCTTGTGTGGGTGGTCTAGTTCTAACTCGGAGTATACTCCTAACTGTAAGATTAATCTTGATCTCTAATGCATACTCTAATCTCAAGCATAATCTTAGGCCTTGTCCTCCCAAATCGTATATTGAGACGCTAACCTGTGACACATACGACATGCCGTTTCTCGTTGTTCTCCTCGAGGTAACAATTCCATATACTCCATTGTCTCAAGGGGATAATTACTAGCATATATGCACGGTGTTGGTTGTGAGGCCACACGCCTGAATTAGCATGAAGGCCGCAATCAGCAGTTTGGGGTCACGTCTCATTCGCATAAAAATGATTCCGGTTTAAAAAGAGAGCCTCAAGATTGTTTCATATGTATCATTTGAGAAGAATCCTGCATAATTCTTTAGTTACTTGCTCATTTTTGAGGAAAGCAGTCTTTATTTTTGCAACAAAATCATTAATCGCCTTACATCTCAGATACGAATAGCAAAAAGCACAGAGAATGTTGTATTTCCAGATCCACTTGCTATACTGTCATGTATCTATCAACGCTATCAGCACTGTCAGCTCTCATCGCGGATGGCCATATTTGTTGCTATCCATCCAAGGCGTTAGTTACCACAATTCCATTAGTTGTCTTGGTTATAGTTATGGTAATTACTTGATTTTTTCACACCGCTGATATCATTGGAAGCAGCCGTCGGACATGTGCTTCCTGTGTGACTAAGTGTTCGGCCCAGGTAAACTCGGAGCCCTGCATACGGCGTGGGGAGACAATGTTGCTCATATATTGACCACCTAACGTGTAATCCTGTCTCAAGCAGTTTGCGGCCCACATACTTGTCACGCTTTTGTAAGAATTTCGGCCACAACAAAACTCATGTTAAAATGGGTTCTTGCAGAATTAGCTGCGACTTGAGAATGAACACCATTGTTTTTTTTTCAACATTTCTGCGTGTCCGCCGTCTAAGTTTGGAGAAATCTCTCAGTTTTCTCAACGTATTTATCAAATAAGATAAACGACCCAAGAAGACTTACGCTAGTGTATTAGGTCTTGCGACCCACCATCGGTCTGTGTGCAACACTAAATTTATTGATGGTTTTTTCAAAAGATATTTGGAAGCGAACCTTTATTCATATTTAAATTTTGCGCTTCATTAACGTTAGGTAATTTTGTAGGAATAACTATAGAGAGGATGCAAGCTAAGGTGACTCTTTCGGGCCCGTTTGCCGTTATCTTTCAGTCATATTTCTAGCCCATTCACGAAGGCCTGACACTAAGTCCTGGGCTTTATTGGTCCTTTGCAACTTTACTTCGCTCCTCGAACATTTGTTCTATGCGTTATCGCTAGTTTATGCGTGGTAGGGGACGCTCCAGT